AGACACCCTGTGACCAAGTACGAGAAGCGGTTAAAGGAAGTCGATGAGATTTCCCTCTATCAAGCACTGTGATCTCAGGTCTAAATAGGTAGCAGGTAGCTATGCAACAATGACTACATATACAGTAAATATGTTTGTATGTATGGATAGGAAATCTTTTCCTTAGCATGCTCTGCTTTTCTGAGTATAGCAGTTTTTGGATAGTTGATTCAATGACCCATGGTTTTTCAATTTTAAAAAAGAAACTGAATGATGGAGATTATTTACAATGAGTATCACAGTGTTTGGTGGACCCACTCTGTCACCAGAGACAACAACCAACTAAAGCTGGCCATACATTGCTAGAAATGTGAAGGGTGGGTGGCCCTTTCGGGCCCACCCAATCTGACCAAGTCTATTTTTCAATTGACTTTTGTCAAAGAATCTGGGTATTCAATAAGATACAGTATCTGTTCAGGTTCCACTGGCTGCTGAATAGAATAGACGGCAGCCAGCCTGGGAAATATCTTTATCCATGCGGTTTATGGTGGATGAGAAATGTTACTGATTTCTCTTGTTCAGCCTACAGGGCATGATAAGATATTCAGAAGCCAGAGTTAGGCAGACCTAAACCCAGAGCATGAGCAAATAGACTAACCTGTTGATCAGGCAAAGGCTGAATGCCCAACAGTCTTTTTAAGCTTTGTTTGTTTAGGATAGATGTGTTGCAGAGCCTTGACCTACAATGCTGAGTAAACCCCCATTCACACATGAACAATCAATCAATCAGACATTTCCTGAAGCACAACAACGCTCAACATAGAGCTTGCCATTATATTTAATGGTGCCCTTCACACCTGAGCGTCGTGCTGCTGCTTGCCACACAAAAAAAGTACATGCGCAGAATTGCACATCATTGATTTCAATGCGAGTGCCTGAAAATTCCCATAACAAGCATTTTAGTGCATTTTTCCTCCCCCTAGCAACCCCAAGCACAAATTAAGCTAGATAAATCAGCTCTGTGTATATATTGTATACATTGTATACAGTATATGCTTTTAACCAGTGGTTTGTTATACACAGCTAATAGAACAGGTTAATATAATGGATATCCTAGATCAGGGGTAGGCAACCTTGGCTCTCCAGGTGTGCTGAAACTACAAATCCCCTAAGGTATTGCAAGCCACAGGCATGACTCCCAGAGGCAGAAGCTTGATGGGATTTGTAGTTTCAGCACAGCTGGAGAGCCAAGGTTGCCTACCCCGGTCCTAGAAATACGAAAAAAAAGAAAAAGCAAAAATGATGAAACAATGCACTATGAAACATTTTCCTCCAAACTTAAATAGGGAAAACTCCTAAAATAATTTGTTTTATGTTACAGTGTAAGGCAAGTGAAAAACGTGGGAGCAGATTGCTTGTTCTGTTCATGACACTCCACCACCATTATAACCTTAGCTATCTTTGAAGTCACACAGAACAAGAAAGGTTACTGTATAAAATATAACAAACCATGATTGAATATTTCAGGAGAATAACCATTAGTAAGGCACTTTGAACCTAACTTTGTGGTCAATAGAACGTATATGCACATTCTAGGCAGCTTCAAGTAAGTTTTTGTACAGGTAGTGAGAGTTCACATAGCAGGTAGGTTTCAAACTGGTCAGTTGAGCATTATTGTGCTTTCAGCTTTAGAAAAGTATAATCAGCAGTCCCATCATTCAATAACTTCAGTAACACAAACATAAATGCTAACCTGTCCAGCTCTAACTACACAATCAAATTAGTTTCTAGCAGGAAAATACACCCTGTGCCTAGATTCCCCCGCAGCTGCCACCACACAGTGTCCTTCTGCAGATTACATGCTCTGAGTTGCGCAAGGTTAACAGGATTTTAGAGGGACATGTGAAGGAAGCTGCCTCCTATATTAAGAATAGCAATGGAATAACTGCCCTTGATTACTCCAGTCTTTCAGACATACATGGTGCTATATATGAAATAAAAACAGAACAGTTATGTGGCATACATTTCCAATTGTATGGAAGTCAAGACACCTACATTAAGGTGTGATGGTATAGTGTAATCACTGCTCAAATTTATGGCAGCCCTCATGTTATGCTACATATTGTACTGCATAGCACTTAATAAATTGATAACAAGCTTACCTGGAAGTTTACTCACTAAATTTTCTTAAAGATGCAGCAACAGGCAAGATAAGTTTGATCTTAATGTGTTGTTATGTATTTCAATGTGGGAGCAGCTTTGTCTTGAAGCTAGGATGTGTCTTTTCATATATTCTCAGGTATTGTACATTGAGATCCGTGTTTTTTAAAACCTTAGAAGCGGCTTTCTTTTGCTGGCATGACTGAGAACTGGGGAACATTTGTACTTGTCTAGTCTAAATAGCTTAGTTGTGTATATATATATATATCTATCAGGGATGCACCGATAGCAGTTTTTCCGTATTGAGTACCAATATTTTTTTTTTCCGGTACTCACCGATTACGGATACCGGCATCTGTGGACCCGGATTAATCAGGCTTGTGAAGCTGGTGTTCTTTCGCAAGAACACCGGCTTCACTTCTTTCACAATACAGCAAGGCAGCCTGGCTTCCTGACCAATCGAGGAATCGAGCAGCTGGTCATGATGTGCCACCTGGCTTCCTGATTGGCTAGGAAGCTGGCTTCACTTGTTGCTAGGCAGCCTGCTTCCTGACCAATCAGTAATCCGGGAGGCGGGTCATGATGTGCTGCCCGACTTCCTGATTAGCTAGAAAGCCAGCTTCACTTGTTGCTAGGCAGCCTGGCTTCCTGACCAATCAGGAGGACGGTAGGAGGGTCATGACTTGCAGCTCAGCCTTAAAACCAGAACTTCTGGTCAGAGGGAGATTTTCCTCTGACCTGCAGTGTTGCGAGGGAGCATGGAGCCGGCTTCCCGGCCAATTAGGAAGCCAGGTGGCGGGTTATGACCTGCCTCCCAGCTTCCTTATTGGTCAGGAAGCCGGCTTCTTAGCCAATAAGGAAGCTGGGAGGCAGGCCATAACCCACCACCCAGCTTCCTGATTGACCGTGAAGCCAGCTCCATGCACCCTCATGGCACTGCAGGTCAGAAGGAGATCTCCCTCTGACAGGAAGTTCCGGAATCGGGGGTATGTGTCAGAGCATTTGGGCGTACGAGTACTCGCCCAAATACTCTGTATCGGCACTGATACTAGTATTGCTGCATCCCTAATATACAGTATATATTGTGACAGAGCCCAAGGCAGGGTAATAGAGAGCGTCTATATTTCTTCAACAGTGCTCCACTCCGCAGTTTGCGTGTAGCACAGTAGGTAGAGAAGCCAGTCCAGAGTTTCTGTCTGGCCCAGCCAGTTCCTCACCTGTACCTAACAAGCAGCACTAGTTATTTGGAGAGATAGCTGCAGAGTGGAGAGACCAGCAAAAGTAGGATACTGCAACACTGATTTCTGTAGATTGAGAGGACTTCTCAAAAAGGACAAAAAAACTTCATTTGAAAAGTCTGTGCACCCAATTGCTTTGATTTCCTTGGGAACAAGTGACATTATCACATTTAAGTTGTGCCTTTTAAAAAAAAAAAAACTCAGTGGAGCAAGGACTTTTGTTTGGTTATGTTTATTTTGCCTGTTGTGCCAGACCTATTAATAAAAAGGCAAAGGACTTTATTTTGAAGCTATTGCATTGTTGTGTGGTGTTTCCTACTTTAAAGACTGTGTGGCTTAAGATCCCAGGTCACACACACACACACACACACACACACTTGTATGCTGGCCAGTCTAATTACTATGTACTTGGTGACAGCGCCGTTGCTACTTAGTATTATTACTATGACCCACCCACCCCATGGTGCACTTTACCTATATAAGAACACAATACAACTTTACCTCACTACCATTCAGATGCCCTGCTGCTGCTTTGCATCTATCACTCCCCTGTCACTAATACTATCCCACTTTAACCTTTTCCATACCTCTCTCTTTGCATACTACCACCCCTTTCATTCCTACTCCTCATTCATTCTATTGCCTTCTACTTCCTCTGCACAGACAAGGGGTAAGGAAGGTCACACTCTCCGTTAAACATTAAAACATATCTGAAAATATGCATATGGAGAACTAGGTCTCTGCAAGACTTTACCCTGTACAAAGCTGCCCTGATAAAATATAACTCCTCCCTCCGTGCTGCCAAACAAACTTATTTTGTCACTCTCATTAACACACTCTCATCCAGACCTCGTCAACTCTTTTCTACCTTCAAGTCTCTACTATGTCCTCCACCACCACCACCACCCACTAATTCACTCACTTCCCAGGACATTGCCATTCATTTCAAAAACAAAATAGATACCATTCGAGATCAGATCGCCACTGTCCAATCAACTGCTCCTTTTATTATAGTACCTGATCCTCCATCTCACTTGTTACTTTCCTCTTTTGACCCTGTCACCACAGAGGAGGTTACTAAGCTTCTCTCTGACACCCACCTCAGCACTTGCCCCCTGGACCCTGTTCCCTCAAAATTACTTCAGTCACCCTCTTGCTGTATCCTAGACTCTCTTACCCACATTTTCAATCTTTCCCTCTCTACTGGAATCTTTCCTACCCCACTCAAACATGCACTAGTCACCCCAATACCCAAAAAACCTTCACTGGACCCTACCAACCTCAATAATTATCTCTTAAGCCCTCAGGGGCAGGGCCCTCCTTACCATCTAGTCTTAAATTGTATTGTAACTGTTATGTCTTCCTTATATTGTAAAGCGCTGCGCAAACTGTTGGCGCTATATAAATACTATGTAATAATAATAATAATAATAATGTGTATATGCAGGATGCTTACGGGTAAAAGAGTAAGACTAATGTAGGACACATTTGTGAGGCATATAATTAAAATCAAAATATTGATTTTGCATGGAGTTTTACTTTAAAGTGCAGAAGTCACATTTTCTCTGGTCATCTGAATGATAACTATTCCAAGCTAAAGACAAGATTTCATTACATTCTTACCTGCCCCAGGGAGTTGTATTTTCTAAACAACCAGATGAGTACAAGCATACAAAAACTGTAAGAAACAAATATATAGGAGTTAGAATTCAATGTTTACAACTCTAAAGTCTACATCCTGGTGAGAGAAAGTAACAAAGCAATACAACTATTTGTACTGAATTGTAAATTAATACTACACTTAAAAATCATAATATAACACTAACGGAGCAGTATATTTTCATACAATCAGTTTTAGAGTAGAAGAAGAAACAAATCCCTATATTCTACCAGATGTATACCATCGATAACGGCATTTATTTATGGTCAAAAACTAAAAATAAATATGTATTTCTATATTGAATTTTCATAAGTTCTGTCCTACTCTTTAGGGAAGCCTTTCCCACCTCAAACTAACAACTCAATGATCACGTTCTCAAACAACTCATCCCCACACAGCTACCTCCTCATGTATCACTTTCCCCTCCCTTTTAGATTATAAGACCTCACGGGCAGGGCCCTCCTTACCATCTTGTCTTGAATTGTATTGTGATTGTAATGTCTTCCTTATACTGTAAAAGCGCTGCGCAAACTGTTGGCGCTATATAAATCCTGTATAATAATATTAACCATATTGATCTAGAAGTTTGTAAACCTACTTATTAATGATGCCCAATACAATCCTGTAAAGATGCACTTCATGTGAGTGTCACCACTCAGAGCCTTCCTTCTGTACTACAACTCAACATCTGAACTTCCAACAATATAACACCATCATTGCTTGCTGGAAGCAATACATGATGGGATATGTAGTCTTGAGAAATTGAGATTTCATCACATCAGGCCATAGGGAAAGAGATGCAAAGCACAATGGGAATCCAGGAAGTTGTTGACGTGATGGGCAGGTGGAGGGCAGCACTCACTACATGAAAGGGATTTTTTTCAAGTGAGCTTTGATTGCATCATCAAAACCAACTCTACACCCATCAGCCATAACATTATAACCACAGACAGGTGAAGAGAATAACATTCCCCTGCTTTCTCTCCTCATTGCACAGGCCCCATAAGCTCTTAGCTGCTCTGAGGTCTGGCAAGGCAGGGACATCCGCTGGCCTTTCACCCAGAAGCCGCCGGTACACTTCCAGCTTTAAAGACGGCCGCCGGGCAGCCGCCGATTGGCAGACATCTTTATAACACAGGAATGATTGGCAGGCCCGCATCGCATCATTCCTGTGTCATAAAAATGGCAGACGATCGACGGCTGCGCGGCGGCCATTTTTAAAGTTCTTAGAACTATGAGGTGAGTGGAAATCACTCATGTTATAGTTCTCCTTTAAATACAAACAGTACTTAGCAAATCTGCTCTAGCTAAAGCTACATAAATTCATGAAAATTGAACTGAAAAAATGCCAAAGGGAAAATCTTGGCATTTTACTATAAACACAAATTAACTTTATCGCAGTTCACCAGTTATAGAGGCAGATTTGCTTCTGGGTTTACTCAGAGCTCACATACAAACATTTCTGTGCACTTTTAGTACTCAGCTATACCAAACCATAGTACAGCAGCCATGGACTTGATGTGTAGAGGTTAGATGGATCTTTTTTTTTTTAAATTAGTCATAGAAAATCTATTCATCAATTTCTGTATTAGTTTCTGAGCACACTTCTTGTCTTACCAAGTCTACTTCAAAGATAAAACAAAAACTATTGGCAGCAAACTAGTGAGATAAGAATGCAAATACTGTAGCAGTTCACTCAATTTACCTAAAAGGAAAAGCATAGTGTGCTCCTATTAAGAGTTTTTTTAAATTGTTAATGCAGTGTTTTAGGTATTTTATATCACTTTTACATTTCACGTAATTACATAATTGCTCCCATACATTGATACTGTATTAAATATAGAAACGTATAGATTAACCACACAAGAGAACTTTCACTGGCTGAGTACAAATACTCAAGTCTCTACCACAATTAATAAGAGACAACAGCCACAGTGTGCATTATTTTCAGTGAGTAAGGTGACTTGCATTGTCACAAGCAGCAGTGAAGCATAACCTTAAAGCAGCACTGCAAAAGCAGGAAGCATAGCCTGCATATGTAATGAGCATATATAGCTTTCCCCATGTAGATATACAGTTAGAAATTATACATAGAAAAGGTTTTAAACTTTTGTTGTTGAGCTCAAATCGTTGTACACATGTATAGAATAAGGATGAGCTCACGTTAACCAAGCTACTCCAAACCCTGAAGAAGCTCTTACCAAACACACAAGGAGCACAGAAGGAGCTCTTCCAGAACATGGAAGGAGCCCTTCCCAGACACAGAAAGAGCTCCTCCCAAACACGGAAGGAAGCGCCTTCCGTGTCAGCCAATCGGCTGCAAGTGGGAAATTCCCCGCCCATGGTTTGACATAAGCAAATGGACAGGGTGCAGTAGCATCACTGACCTTATATGGCTACATGGCTAGATTAGGCAAATTACATTTACCTAATATGGCTATATGGCCATATAAGGTAAATGACATCAGCACAAGCATCCCACTACTTTGCTTATGGTCAGCTGCAGGGTGGGGAATGCCCAAGCCACAGCTGATTGGGCAGGAGGCTCATGTAGCTTCCATGTTTGGATGAACTTATTTTCGGATTCGGTTTGGTCTCAACCTGAGCTCATCCTTCGTATAGAAGTACATGAGTATAACACAGTAACAACGAGTACGAGGAATTAAATGGATACAGATATAAAACATTACAAAATAAACACCTAAAACCAGTGACAGTCTCTTTTTGTAAAGGGTATGCTCTAAACTCAGGAGGTAAACATTAAAAATGCATTCAAGTACCTTAACTATTAACAAAAATGTATCTTATTTGTGTATTACTCAGCTATAGATCCTCAAATCATCTCTGAATTCAGCTGAAACTGTTCTTTCTGGAGTGTGGCTACTTTTGTTCCCCAAGCTACCTGTGTGTGTTGTAAAGTAGTCACCACTCCAAGCTCGCTCCCATGATGGACTACAATCACAATACAAATTGGTAAACTAAACGTGAGATTGTAGTCCATTACAGGAATGAGCTAAGAGTGGTGGCTACTTTACAACACACACAGGGACCATGAGGAACAAAGTAGCCACCTTCCAGAAGGAAGGACAGTGTCAGCACCAATTCAGAGATGATTTGAGAATCTACATCTGAGTGATACACAAATAAGTAACATTTTTTTTTAGGGCTGGTAATTATGAAAATGTTCGTGTTTGATTAATTAAAAAAAGTTTTTATCGATTCATTATAATGCACATACAGATCCAACTACATTGGCCTATACACATGCAGCACAGCAATGAAGTAATAAAATGAACTAGGACCACACTAATCCAGCACGTTATTAACCTCACGTGCACCACTCAATATGGCAGCCGCTTGAGTGGGGCAACTCAGAATAATAACGTGCTGGATTACAAATGTATTTACATAGTAAAACAGCAAAATGTGATTTAAACATAAGTATTAGGGAGTGATCGAGTGGAGAGGATGCCAGAGGAACATATGGGGCGCCCAGGGAGAGGAGAAGCTGAGGAAGTCGGTGAGTTTATGATGATAACAATGAATCTAGGTAAAATGTTCAAATAGAGACTAGTTGACTGTATCATTGTCTCCTTGGATAAGTTAGGTGGCGACCAAGCGGTAGATGTTCCTTAGGGGAAAGCACCCTAAGATATAGAGAAGGATGGAGGGCAAGACAGTATAGCAAAGAAAAAGGGGGGAGGGGAGGGAGAGCGAGTAGGCGCCAAGATGGGCCACTTGCTCTTGCCCGTGCCACCCTAGAACACTCCTCTATTAAATACAATGATGGAGATACCACGCAGTATAAACCCTACCGCGGGGTCGCACTACAAAATGTACCTTAGGATAGGATATGCAATATTCAATAGATTCAGCAGGATTATGTATATGCAAAGTTGTTGGAAAAAGAAAAATGGAAAACTGTTGATGATGCCATGCAAAACATGTTGTAAACACTCCTTGAAATTGTCAACACAATAAAATGTTTTTTGAAAAAAAAAAACATAAGTATTAGCTTAATATTTGAAGTAGCAGCACCTGTCCATTCCATTTCATGTAAGGACCTGATTGCAACATAATATAAGTAAATTTCAATGGGCACATTTCTGGGAGTGAGATGGGGGTTAATGGAGAGCCACATAGTGCATATATATATAGGTTTAAGATAAGACAGAAGCTTGGTGCTTCTTGGGCAAATTCACCGGCCCAAGTGGCT